GTCTGCTGCCGCTGCGGCCGGCGGCAAAGGTGATGGCGAGCGTGCGCATGTCTTTGCACTGAATTCGAAACGTAAACCCGGCCTGCTGGCGTTTAGGTGGCGAAAGGGGCGTGGCTGCCTCGCTCTCATCCCCACCCCAACCACTCTGCGCACGCGTGGGGGTAATGGGGCTGCCAGGCATTGGCGGTGTTGCAAACAGGCTGTCGTCGCCACTCAATACGGAATCTGAATCCGTGCGCTGCAGTTGAGAAAACAGGACACGGCCATCACCACCACGACCAACCACGGCTGCTGCTGGTGTGGTCGCTGTTGTCGTCGCGCTGGAGGCTGTTGCCGTCCGCGCTGCTGCAGATGATGATGTTGCTGCTACTGCTGAGCTTGATCGGTGTCCAGTGCCCCTCGCACGACCACCCTCGCTACCGCCATCATCGCCATCACCACCTGCGTTGCCAAAGAGTTCGCTGCCAAAGGAGCGCATTTTGCCAAACAATTCCGTCAAGTTTGAGGACACGGCGCTGTTGCCGTCATCATCAACATCATCATCATCGTCACCACCTCCACCATTGGTAGCGCCGTTGTTCCGGCCACCACCGCCAGTGTGGACCTGCACATCGCTGGCTCCAACAACGGCAATTGCGTCGCCCGTGCTGTCGTTGTCATTGTCGCGCGTCGGCTGATAGATGACATCATCGGTGATGGACACGCTCTGCAACAGGCCAAGCGGTACACACATGTTCAAGCTCAGCTCATTCCCCAGGAACAGCACCCCCGTGTCACCACCACCACCACCACCGTCATTGCTTTCACGATCAACAAGGGTGGGAGTGTTCGTGCCCGTATCACCACCACCAGCACCATCGTCGTCATCGTCATCACTGTTGTTGAGCACGTTGCTCTGGCTGTCACGCCTGCTACTCGCACCACTCGTAACACCGCCACCACCACTACCACCATCGTCATCGTCATCATCGTCGTCGTCTCTGTCATCGTTGTTGTCGCTGCTGTACATGGTGCACCCTTCGAATGACAGCATGGACTGCACTTCGCTTGACGTCTGTCGTTGGTCTGCCGCTGGCTCAGATGTGACTTCTTGTTCTGCTGCCTGTGCATGTTCCTGATTCGCCACTCGCGCCAGCTGCTGCTGCTGCTGCTGCTGCTGCTGTGCAAGCCATGCCGCACGTGTGCTGACAACAACTGCGTCTTCATCGGACACGCTGTCCATCAGCAGCTGCAGACCACGCCCCTTTCGTGCGGATCTTTTCTCCAGCAGCTGTTCCATCACCACCAGCCGGTAGTTGGTCAGGATCACTGTTCCGCGCGCCTGTCGCTGCCCAACAGCAACAAACACGTCGTCCTTCCACACCTCAATCTTGTGTGTGTGTGTGTGTGTGTGTGTGTGTGTGCGTGCGTGTGTGTGCGTGTGGGGGGGGGGCAGTTGGATGCAACAAACATGACTTTCCCGCGAGACACATGAAGCACAAGCAGAGACCACATCAGAACCTCTTCGTCGTCGTCGTCGTTGTTAACATCACCACCAACACCTTCACCACCATCCAACACCACCACTGTTGGCTCACCTCTTCATCGGGACCAGGGAGGAACCCAACAGTGCACCCGTCATCGCGCACAGCACTGTCCTCCCCCTCCTGTTGCCGCAGGTGCACAGGTGTGTTGATGTTGTGTGTAGGTGTGTGTTTGGGTGGGTGTGTTTAGGTGTGTGTTTGTGTTACCTTGTGTCAGGCATTGTTCGATCGTTGCATCACGAATGACACCACAAACATGCACACGCTCTCACAAGGCGCGCTCTCAAGGCACACACACACACACACGCACACACAGTTCAGGCTCACAACAACACTGTAGACACAGCGTATGCACACCACACACCAGCACAGATCACAGAGGACACGGCAGCTCACCGCAGGGGAGTCGAGGAGGATGGGGAGATCGAAGCGGTGCTGGCGGCAGAAGTGGCGAAACCGGGCATAATCTGACGCGCACACACGTACACACACGCACACGCACACGCACACGCACACACACACACACACACGCACACGCACACGCACACACGCACACGCACACGCACACGCACAAGTGCACATACAAGCGCACAAGAAAGGGTATGATGACCTCATGGGCACGGTGTTGAATGCGTGTGTTGGTCGCATCTGGCAATGTCCACACCCATCATCATCACTGGCATGATCACCATTACCTGTTTCGCTGATGCCCTTTGGGTTGTTGACGGTAAAATCCAGCTTGATGCTTGCGCCGCTCACATCGATCCGCCCTGAAATCGTTGGTTGTGTGTGTGTGTGTGTGTGTGTGTGTGTGTGTGTGTGTGTGTGTGTGTGTGTGTGTGTGTGTGTGTGTGTGTGTGTGTGTGTGTGTGTGTGTGTGTGTGTGTGTGTGTGTGTGTGTATGTGTGTGTGAGGCCCGTCTGAGGCGCATGACGGTTCACACGTCCCGCCACCACCATCACCACCATCACCCCATCACACCTACCGTTCCTCAGGGGTCGAAACTGCGCCCACTCTGTGCGCCGCAGCTTCTGTTTGACGCCAACAGGAATGCGCACGAGACCAAGCAGCGTGTCCCCACTCAACCGGCCCTGTGTTCCCAATCACGGGGCAGGGGTGAAAAAGGGATGTGGCAGTGTGCACATGGATGTGTGTGTGTATGTGTGGGTGGGTGACAGTGAGAATGAAAGCGCGCATCGAAAAGCACGTGGCACGCACAGATGCACATCTGCACCATCACGCACATGCACAACCACCACAACCACCACATCACCACCACATCACCATCGCCACCATCATCGCCACCATCACCATGTACACAACGGCCACCTGGTCGTGCAAGCGCAGCTCGAGAAAGAGCGGAGCATCGGATGTCGACCACTCGATGCTGAACTCCTCATTCCACGCCGGCTGCGCAGTGTTGGTCTTCAAGGGCAGCACGTGAGCACATGGGTTGTGGGTGATGGGTGATGAGTGATGAGTGATTGGTGAAGTATGGGCTCAAGGTAGCGAGCTGTCGAATGCCCGCACGTGTTGCAACAGACATGCAACGGACGGGGGGGACGAAACGAGACCCCATCTCACGCGCACACTTTCACAGAAGACATGTTCTCAAGTCAGGCACTCCTCTTTCCCCCCCCCCCCACAAACACACACGCACACGCACACGCACACAACACACACGCACACCTTCACTGTCGTCGTTGCCTTGAGCTGGTCATCCAAGTACATGCCGACGACAAAATCAGCAACCTCCCGCACGCTCAGATCTCTCGTTCCGCCAACTGTGACGATGACGCAAACAACAGCAGGCATGGCCGTGAGTTAGCACATTCGACAACTGCTGAGGGAGAGATGTGTCAACAAGTAAACAAGAGCAAATTGCCAACACACAACCACACACACACAAGCACACAAACTCACACACACACACACACAAGCACATAAACTCACTGTGCAGAAAGATGACGCCATGAATTGGTGCCTTTCGTCGGCGGCCGCTGCGGGGTGTGCCCTTGCGCTGACTGGACGACGCACCAGCATCCGAGGACGCAGTGCGACTCCAACTGCCCGTGCGGCGACCGGGTGTTCTTGAGAAGAGCGAGGACGCAAACGACTGCACCCCCTTGGCTGCCGACCGCCCCATTGTGCCGCCGGCACGCAGCACTTTCGGAAACGACGCAGATGACCGTCGCGAGTTGCCTTGTTCGGGTTGTTGCTGTGGCGGCATCTGCCTCTGTTCATGTTGTTCAGCTCGCAGCGCGTGCTGCGCGCCGCTCCTGTGCGAGTCTTTGATCTGTTGCCCTGCATTCTGCTGCTGCTGCTGCTGCTGCTCAGTACCGTGAGATGGTACGCCACCCTGCTCCCTTGCTCCTCCGTCTCGCTGTTGCTCCCGCGCTTGCCTTCCATCACCACTGCCGCCAACCACCTCATCCTTTGTTTTGGAGTTGTCACGTTGACTGCTGCTATGCTTCCTGTTCTTCTTTGATTTACCCCTCCTGTCTCCAACTCCCTGCCGGCTCGATTTCCTGCGCGAACGCGACTGCTGCCCTTGTCTCTCGTGCGCCTGTGGCCGCTGGCTGCTGTGCTCTGGCGTGGGCGGCGGCCGTGACGACTCAGCCGCCATGTGCCCCAGCGGATCAAACAGCAGGCGATCCCCATCCATATCCAAACTGGAGGTGCTTGTATGTTTCTGTCTGTCGTGTCGTAGTCTGTGCGTCGCGCTGTCCTTCCCAGCGTGTAGATAATTTGTCGTATTTTAAAATAACATTCGTCAACTGCCTGCCGCCACAACACAAACTCACACCAGCCAGCCAGCCAAGAGCAAGTTGATGTACATAGTTGAACGGACCAACATCATCAACCCAACAAGCAGCACACACAACACATCACCCACAGCACAAGCACACAACGCACTCCTCGTCATGTCATGTTTGTCCCAAGGAGAGGGGTGCACGAACCCTTGTGCCAAGACAACAAACCTTGTTGGCGAAGAGTTTTCATTTCTCCACACACACGCTCGCTTGAACGCCCGTGACATATTCGTGCCGTGCGTTTCTCTTCTTCGTCCTCCTCCTCTGTCACATCAAACCGACGCATCCGCATCTGCGTTCTCTCCCTCTCCCTGTGACGTGTGGTTTTTGAAGGGTTGACGTGTTTGCTGTGTCTGTGCACCCCCTGTGCTGTGCTGCACACCTGCTCTTCTCTGGTGTTCTGCACACCTGGGCGATCAACAGCCCCTTGACAGCTTCCGTGCGTGCGATCATAGCCGCCAACAACAACAACAACAACAACAACAACAACAACAACAACAAACAACAACAACAACAAACAACAACAACAACAACGACAATATGCGGCAGCAGAGGCAACGCCGCACAGTTGGGGAAGCACGCTCCACATGCGTGAGCGTCGTCCTCTTGGCTGTGCTGATCGGCGCCTTCTGCCCCCTCATCGCCTTGGGCTCGACAGCTGCTGCTAGTGGTGGTGGTGGTGCTGCTGCTGGTGGTGCTGCTGCCACCGTGGCTGCTGCGGCCACGACTACTACCACCGCAGATACCGCACTCAGTGATGACGATGCCGACATGAGCATGTCCCCGTGGGGCAACTTGGACATGCACTCGTTTGCCTGCTGGTTTCCGACCCCCGACCACGCCGCCATTGTGGCATCCGACAGCGCGCGCGATGCACTGGTGACTGCCGTCCTGGATGCTGCCGCCGTCCCCGCTTCTTCCGTTTCGCAGCAGGTCATCGCCAGCTACGTTGGCGAGATGGAGGCCGTTGGGGTCAAGGTTGAGCTCAGCATCACCAACACCTCGACCCTCCAACACCTCTTTGACGTGGCAGAGGACCCGGGCATTGCCATCCACCTGCCCCTTGCCGCTGACAGCGACACGCTTGTGATTGCGCGCCCCTTGATTGCCAAGTCTGGCGGGGACTGCGGTGCCCGTGGGGACTGCTCATCCACGCCAGCACCGCCGTCCAAGAGAGTGCATGATGTCAGCACAGCACAGCTCGTCGTCATCGTTGTCGGCTGCGTCGTCGGCGGCGTTGCGTTTGTCGTTGCTGTCATTCTCCTCGGCGGCACCTTCAACACCGGCAGCCGTGGAAGTGGTGGCGGTGGTGGTGGTTTTGATCGAGGTGGTGGTGATGACGCTGGCGGTGGTCGAGGGTGGGAGGATGAACGACGCAACAACAGCAGCGGCAACAACAGCAGCAGGGGCGGCAACAACAGGGGCAGTCACATCAAGCACCACAACAGCAACACCACCAATGCCACCGCTTACACCACAAGCAGCAGCAGCAGCAGTGCCATGCATGAGACGTCCCTTCCCTTGCCATCCATCGTGCCGCCACCGCCACCACCAGCTGTGCGCCTGCGCGGGGTGGACGAGATGGTTGTGGGTGGACACCTACATCCCTCCTTCTCCCACGGCTCAGTCGCATACACACCATCGCCGCCACGCCAACACCACCAACACCATCAGCGACAACATCAACAACAACAGCGACAACCGCTGCTGCGCGGGGGCGGCGTTGACGCTGTGGAGGTGCTGGCCTCAGATGCCGTGCAGCGTCGTCTCAACCAGCCCCGCACACACGCCACCGCCCTACCCAGCACCAGCGACACACACCATCCACACTACCACCCCTACCATCCACAATACCAGCAGCAACAGCACGACGTGAGCCACGGCCACTCGTCAAACGACAACAGCAGCGGCAGTTCACCCCGGTCTTCGTCACTGCACAGCGACCGGCTCACCACCACCACCACACTAACCACATCAACCTCCATTGGCCACCACGACAGCTTTGTTGCAGCCAACGATGATGATGGTGGTGGTGGTGGTGACGGCAGCATCTCGCTGATGCATGACGCCGCTCACCGTGCATTTGAGGATGAACCGCTGCCTTCTGACCTGCATCTGCACCTGCACCCCGAACACCTCCACCCGCACCACCGACCACACACGCAAATGTACCCGGTGCACGCGGGGGAAACGGTGGAGGACATGCTTGAGCCGGCACACATGAGCACCATCACGATTCCTCTCGATTCTGCAGCCACGACGTCCACAGACATGTTTGCAGACATGTTCAACGTGCAGTCGCCAAACTTCAGCGACGAGCTGGCCCTGCACGGCAGCGGCGACGCAGCCGCCCTCTCGCCCGTCACCGTCAACGACCTTCGACGACAACAACAACAACAACAACAACAACAACAACAACAACAACAACAACAACAACAACAACAACAAGGGCTGCGCGTGTGCAGTGTGGGTCGTGTACACGGCGCTGCCATGGGTATGCAGCCACACGCGCAACAACAACAACAACAACAGCAGCAGGGGCAACGGAGGCTGCTTGTGCCACCTCCTTGGTTGGTTGAAGGGATGCAGCAGACCAGCGCCCACAATGATCAGCAGGTGACAACGAGCAGTAGCAGTGGCAACAACGGTCGACCACGCCATGCTGCCTCATCACAGGCCAGTGGTGCTGCTGGACAGAATATTGCCCCGCATGCACTCGACCGCTCACTCTTCTCCATCCCAGCGCCCCATCACCACAACAAGCAGCAGCAGCATTCAACCGCACTGCCACCGCTCTCGCTGCCGTGCACAACCAAGAGCGGCAACGCGAACCGCAACGGGAACGCACCATCCAGCCAACACGGAGCAAGTGCGTTGCAGTGTGTCTGTGCAGTCGTGTGTGTGTGTGTGTGTGTGTGTGTGTGTGTGTGTGTGTGTGTGTGTGTGTGTGTGTGTGTGTGTGTGTGTGTGTGTGTGTGTGTGTGTGTGCTAGTGTGTGCTAGTGTGTGCTGTGTGTACATTCTCTGTCCCATGTAGATTATTGTTGCTGACGACCATGTGTCCACCATTTCCACCCCTCGTGGTGCAGAATCACAGCGGTCACCCGTGCAGGCGGGTACTGCAGACAAGCTTCCAAACAAGGTGCGCACGTCACAACCGCGCTCTGTGTTTAGGCGCACATGAACACACATACGCTTGCACATGAACACATACACTTGCACATGAGCAGTCGCATTTGCTCGCACTGACACCCCGTTCACTGGCACTGTGTCCATGCATTTCAGGGTGCAACATCTGTGAAGAAACCAACAAAGGCGGCGACAAAGAGGGTGAGCAATGTGTGCAAATGTGTGAGTACGTGCAAGTGCTTGTGTGAGTGTGTGTATCTGTGTGAGCTTGAACGCGCGTGTGCTTCGAAGCAAGAATTGTTTCTCCTTCTCAACAAACTCTCACGCATGTGATTGACGTTGTGGTTGCTTGCAGTCACGACGGCAGGCTGGCCAGGACAAACCCAAGACGCCACGCGTGCGTGATCGCCGCGATTACATGAAGGCATACAGACGCCAGCGTCGGCAGCAAGTGCGTATGTGTGTGTGTGTGTGTGTGTGTGTGTGTGTGTGTGTGTGTGTGTGTGTGTGTGTGATATCATCAAGTGCGCACAGCCATTGGTGGTTGTGGTGGTGGTCATCATAATTTGCAATTTGCACAGGACGACTCACACAACTTATCATCACGCGACACCACTCTCCCCTTTTGCACCATCCCCCTCCTCCGCAACTGCACACACACACACACACACACACACACACACACACACACACACACACACACACACACACACACACACACACACACACACACACACACACACACACCACAGGTGGAGGAGCTGCAGGGCCGGGTTGCGCAACAGGAGCACGAGAAGCGCAAGCTGAAATCGCGCGTGGACGAATTGGAGGATTTGGTGGACAGGTTCAGACACGCGTTGCCACCAGACATGTTTGCCGCCATTGTACAGCAGGGTAGAGGCGGAGGCGGTGGCGGTGTCGTGCAGTGCTGAAGCTGTGGGTGTGTGGAGCTGAGGTTGGGGTGGAGGTGGGGAAAGCGACGATGGTAGCCGTTGTGTGTTGACACTCTTTGAGTTGCTTCTTCCGACAAGCACGTTTGCTTGAGTTGGTGGGGTCATAGGTGTGTTTTTGTGGCCGTGGTAAATGTACATAAAGCGCATGCATACACACGGAAGGCTTCACGGCATATGGTGATGTTGCAGTGAATCGGTTGCGTGAGCAACTTGCTTGGAGCTTTCGAGGTGAGGTGCTGGGTGAGGCATGCTGAAGAACTGCCCGTTTTTGTGCAGCCGCATCATACAAGCACGCGTGTGCGGGGCTTGTTGGGTGCAGCAGAGGAGACAGGGGTAGCACACGCGTGGCCATGCACTGCATACATCAGCCAGTTGCTTGGTGCACACAATGAAAACGACGACACAAACAAACTCCACAGGAGCACGACCACGATTGCACGACAGGCACGATAGCAGCCCGATGTGTCTGCATTCGCGTTCTGCACTCGGATACTCAGTTGAATTTGAGTATTCACATGACATCTGACGTGTACTTGGGGCAAACGGCCAAACAGAACAAGACGCAAGGTGTGAACCCCGCTAGACATCTAGACATGCACGAAGCGAGACAAGGCGTGCCAAGGAAAACACGCAACCACACGGGGCAACGAAAAGAGAACAACCGACAAGAAAGCACTGCGTGCAGGCAAACACGCAGAACGACATGGAAGGCAAGAAGCAAACACAAAACAAGCTACCCACACTCAAAACAACTTGCAGCAACCCACCCTCACAACACCCATTCTCATCCTCACCCACTCTTCTTCACTCGTTCAGGCAGTTGTTGATGGCCCTGCACCATTCGGCAAGCGTGGTGTCAGAGCGGTCGTCCGAGCGAAAGATGAATGTTCGCTTGGGAACGGCAACGTGCAGCTCACTGTTGTCTTGGGCGAGCTCAGCTGACAGTACATCCAACAGGGAGATGCGTCGCTTTGGCGGCCGTGCTGCGGACTTGCCGTACGCGAAGTGGCTGTCGTCAAGCTTGCACCAGCACGGGCGGAAGGCGGCCCTCCGTCGCCCACGTTTCTGCAACCACCCGACAAGCGGCTGCTGTGAAGAGCACCCCTGTCGCTCGTCTGCTTCGTCTGCTTCGTCTTGTTGACTAGCCAAAGCTTGCACTTGATCACTGCCGGTGTCTTCCTGTTGCGCATCGCCGTCATCGTGCTCGCTGTCGCCACTATCACTATCGCCGCGAATGCGCCGCAGATTGCGCGCCACCTTGCGTGTGTTGGGGTGGTCTGGCCCGAGCATGGCTTCGAAAACGCCGAGCGCCTGTTGCACGCATGCGTGGGCCTGCTCCTTGTTGCCGCACTCATCATGCAGCAGGCCAAGATTGAAGTATGATGTGGCTGTGCTCGGGTGGTTTTCGCCCAGCGCCTCCGTCCTGATGGCAAGGGCTTTCTCATAGTGCTCAATGGCCTCATCGTACTTGCCCTCGTTCTTGTATGCGACGCCGAGGTTGTTGCACGAGTCTGCTGTGTGTGGATGCTTCTCGCCAAGTGTCTCCACGAACACCTCCTTGGCCAGCCCGTGGTAAGAGATCGCCCGGTCGTACTCGCCCTTGTCGGCGTATGCGAGGCCGAGGTTGCCGTAGGACGCTGCTGTGCTCGGGTGTTTCTCGCCGAGCTTCTCAACCTTGATTGCGAGGGCCTTCTCATAAAATGGGATGGCCATGTCGTACTCGCCCATGCAGCGGTATGCGCCGCCGAGGTTGTTGTAGGTGTCAGCTGTGCTTTGGTGCTTCTCGCCGAGCGTCTCCGCCGTGATGGCGAGGGCCTTCTGGAAGCATTCAATCGCCCTGTCGTAATCGCCCTTGCTGCTGTAGGCGCTACCAAGGTTGTTGTAGGTCATGCCTGTATTCGGGTGCTTTTCGCCCAACACCCCCACTGTGATGGCGAGATCCTGCTCGTAGTATTGCGTTGCCAAGTCATACTCGCCCTTGCTGCTGTATGCAGTGCCGAGATTGTTGTACAGCGCAGCCACATTCTCTCCGTTTTCCCCTTCAGTGCGCAACAAAATCGGCAGGGCTGTCTCGTAGTACGCGATTGCGCCATCGTGCTCGCCAAAGTCGTCCAACACGAGCCCGACCTGGTTGCATAACTCAGCGAACGCCCGTGTCTCGTCTTCTCCACGTGCCCGCATGGCCTCCACCGCAGCCACCATCTTGCTCAGGCACCACGCGCGCAGCTGGTCCTTGACGGCCTGGTTGAGAGCACCAAAGCCCACGCCGTTCTGAATGGCCTCAAAGATCATGTCCTTGTCGCGTGGATTGAATGCTTCGGCGCGCTGTGCTTGTACGAGCACCAGCGTATCCATCACCGACTTAGAGCTTTCACGGATGGCGGCCTCCAGCTCTGACTCCTCGCTCTTGGGTAAGCGGATGCTGACCTCCGTGCCCTCGTTGCTGACGCCGCAGAAGATCTCCCACAGGCACCACGCCCGCGTGAGTGGCACGGGGTCTCGCCACGGCATCAACACCAGCAGCACACGTCCAATGTTGGCAATCGACTCCTTGAACGTCGTGCTCCACCTGTTGTGTTGGGGGGAGGGAGAGGAGGGGCGTGATGTGAGGGAGTGGGAGTGTGCAAGAAACGGGGAGGTATAGCACGCAGGCGCACACAAGGCACACACACACACACACACACACACACATAGACGCACACACACACACACACACACACACGCGTGCACACGCACACATACGCACCACTCTTGTGGGAGGTTGGCGGTAACGTTGGCGTTTTGGTTGTTCATGAAGAGGTCAAACCAGAAGAACACGGGCTGGCTGTCTTCCTTCCTTACTCTTTGTTCCTCTGCAAACTCCAGCAAGACGTTGAGCACGTCTGCGATCTTGTATCGCCACGCGTGCGACACAAACACAGTGGCTTTGCCCACATGTTCATGTGGCGACTGCTTGCGCAAGAGATCGACGTAGGCGCAGTTGTCCTGCTGTGTGCGTGGCACAACCAGTTGCTTGCAGGCATCCTCCGTGGTCATCTTAGTGTACGTGTCGGGGAACTCCTTCTTCAGGTCTGCGAGGAAGGCCCTGATCGCCCCCACAGACACGCCGTCTGTCAGGCGGTGCTCACTGGTGTCAGCCATGGTTCTGTTCTTTTGACGAGACGCTTGAGGGGCCTGAGTGGATGGGGAACTGAAGAGGTTTGTGGGTATCTTTCGAGTGTTTTGCCTTCTGGCCGAAAACCTGGAAGCTCACTTTTGCGGCCGCGCTTGATTTGAACACGCACAAGGTGTGGAGGTGTGCTTTGCTCTTTGCTGGGCTTCTCTTGGTGCAGCTTGAACTTGACATCATGGCTTTGCAGCTGCAGCTGATGAGGGGAAGGGGGGAAGTCAAGATGCTTGCGCTCGCCATGCAGCCAGGCAGCAAGTGCAAGCGCAAGACTCCAAACCCAAGACCTCACTTGGCTAACTTGGCTAACTTGGCTACCCACGCTCCGAGGGCTTGAGGGGAATTAATAGCTTTCTTGTTCGTTGATTGCTGCTCGAGCGAGCACCTTACCACTCCATATCAGAGAGCAAGAAGAGAAGAGCACACGTGTCCCGTCTTTCCTTGCAGATCTGCACGAGCAGAGAACAGGAGAGCCAAGAACTACACCAACGAACACTTCTCTCGTCTCTCGTGCGATGCCATCTAAGCATCTTGCGAAAAGTTGCACCTTCAAACAAACAAACACAAAACCGCACAGTCATCCACAACGGCAAGCAAAACAAACCTACAAACAAACACAAACCATTGTCACTTTCCCAACAGCACCACGAGCAATCCAGAAACACACATCTCCCACAGCGTCCTGCCAACTTCCCTTCCTGCCTTCCCTTCCTGCCTGTGCTCTGCCACCACCACTCAAGGTGCTGGTTGTGGTTGCTGCCTGAAGGACAGAGCGCGTGCACTTTCCCTTATTTCATTTCGCATCAACGTGTCCCAACGCAGCTAGAAGAACACCTCAGCCACACAGCCAAGTGAACAGGCCTACAGGCGGATTGCTGCTTTTCATCATCAAGAGTCTCAGACCCCATCTGCTTGCT